TCTCCATAAAGGAGTGGAGCCTGACTACCAGAGCATGTTGTCCGATGTAATTACTAGGCATGACCATAAAATCACCTAACACGGTCATCTATATAAGGATGAAGACCTACAAGAAGACGAGGGGACGAGAATAGCGTAATAGTGATGTATTGTTAACTTTATTGTAGTATTCTGAGTATTAGCCGTATATAACCTATTAAATAAAAGCATTTTATACCTTCATTTATTGAGATTGTGAATGTAATTAACAAGGTTTCTATAGGTGCCTTGGAACAGATATACTGATAGTGGATCTTTTGTGCTTTGCGTGACTCACATATGCTTATCAATAAATCGGGCTTAAGAAAGCCCCAAACACGTTTGATACACAAAAGGAAGCACTTAGCGAGATCGGATATGAAAAAGATATGTAACCTTTGTCTGATCGTTGTTTTTTTTAGTTTTTGTTATCGTTTCCATTGTATTGGGATACCTATGGCGTCTTATAGTTTGGCACATATCTTTTCGTAGACTAACTACTTTAGAACTTCAAGTTCTAAAGTAGATGACCCAAGTGGTTTGGAACTTGGAGCTCCAAACCACCCATGCATATAAAATAGTGTGGAATTTCAAGTTTCTAATCAATTTGCAACATAAAATATGAATTGATTGGTTTAGGAAAAAATTGATTGGAAACCCAAGATCCCAAATTGATATCTGGGTCAAAGTAGAACCTAGGTTTGGAACTTGGAGTCATTAATGATATTTAGGGACAAAATAACAATGAAAAGGATCGACAATTGAAAGTATGGAAAATGGAGACACTCTTGTTTATAATAATTTCCCTAAAATCTTGCTTATTTAGAAAGATAACTGTACCAAACAAGAGACTATGGTGATCAATACAAATTTGGAATATATATAATAAACTAAATTCACAAAGTAAATGCAAAATAACATTATTATAATGGTAAAACTATTTCAAAATATCATTCAGATGTTTAAATAAACAATTATACCAATGAAGTGGTTGGTTTTGAAAATCATTTTATTTAGGTTCCTTGTAAATAATTTTGATAAGAATTGCCCAAATTGCCTTTTTTTACTAGACTATAACCCTGAATATGTGAGGTCATTTCGATAATTTAATCCACTTATCTCAATCAAGACATCAGTAATTGTTACAGATTCCAAACTTGTAAACATGTTATGCCTTAGTTAGGGTTTGGAACTAGGAGTAAAAGTGGTGTTTTTGTAATTTGGTGCTAGTTGAACCACACAAGCAAAAAGACTCGTTCTGGTTTCCAATCAAGAACAAGATTTGTAGAGGGGAGAAAAAGTGTCATGGATTGGGAACCTAGAATAAGTTAAGGGTCTTTAGGTCATTTCAATTGAGCCATATAAGTAGCCAACATAAAATTACACTTGTTACTTGCTCCAAACTCGAAATATGGAAAATTTCAGCATTTTCTAATAAAATAGTTGAGTAGTGAAATGATTTTTTAAAAAATAAGTATGCATAAATTAGTTGAATTCCTACGTCATTAACCCGTTTGACTATTTTATAGACATTTTCCCTAAATAAACTTTAGAAATAAATAATAGTAGAAAAATTAAGGAAAATTTCTACCATGTATCCAGTAGTACATCAATGTCACACATTTCATTCATGTGAATTCCTTAAAATCGAATTTATTTCACACTGCCAGAGAATGGTTTATTTTGAAACAATTATTCTTTAATTCTTCTAATATTTAGTTAAAATTTGGGCGCCATTGCCACTAGGTTGCACCACAGATTGAGTGGGTTCTCAGATGTTTGAGTTTGTGTAGATCATATGTAGAAGTCAATGTTAACTATCTTTTTTAGCCATGGCGTCAATATTAACTATGAAATAGCACCTTTTTTGTTTTTAACACTTTTTATATGGTATATTTGACCTTTTTAAGTCTGATTAATCATCACCAGCTAGGTATGGTAATTAGTGCATATGATTACACGAAACTAAAAAACAAGGCATACACCAACTTGAATATAAAGACAAAGATGGAAAATAAAAGAAAGGAGAGCCAGTGTACTCCAGCTATGAAAAGTAGTTGAGGTGGTCCAAGGTTCTTTCACCAAATGCCTCCTGAGGAATCTGGTTTCTCTTATCCAACAAGGTCTTTTATTGGTAGAACATGAGCACACACAAGAAAAAAATCTCTCTCTCTCTCTCTCTC